AAAGTTTATAATTATATAATAGATTTTTTAGTCATTATTACTATTAAAAATATTTGCTTTATTATTATAATACAAAAAAAAAAACCATTATTAATAAGAAATGAAAATTTTTTTCCAAAAAAAAATAATTTATTTCAAATTTAAATAATATTTTTATATAATAAAATTTTTCATATAATTATAATACTCGTAATAGTTATACTATTACATTCAGTGTAGCGTTGCTATATCTGTGCATGTTAATGAAATTGTAATTATCATTATTATTATTATTATTATTATTATTATTATTATTATTATTATTATGATAATATTACAATATTGTGAATTGCGGAATAATTTGATGTGTTAATATATTGAAATTTATGCAAAAAAAAAGAGGACACATAAGATCAATGAAAATTATTACATTCATTCAATTTATCATGAAATTCTTTTCATATTATTTGTAATATAATAATGATTATACACGAATATAATAATATAATATTTGAGTATATGAAATTATTTTAATTATTGAAATAACAAACTTGAATTATTATACCCGCAGAAATGTGTGTTTGAAGCAGTATAATAAATTTGCCGCACAATTTCAAACGCTAAGAAATAATGGTCTGAGATATAGACTCAAGTATATGTTTTTGATTAGCGTCGAATTATGAGCCGATTTAGCTTTGTTTGTCCGTGTACCTGTCCGACCGTCTCAACGATAATTCAAAAACTAATTGAACTAAATTCACCAAATTTTCACAAATGATTTATTATAAGAAATGCCAGAATCATATTTAAATTAGTTATGATCAATGTGCTGGTTTGGGTACTTGCCATACAACTTCCAAATACAACTATATCTCAGAAACTATAAGAGCTGTGGTATTGAAATTTCATACAATCAAATAATATTAGTAGGGCCAATTTGTTTGATAAAAGATCGTTAAAAATTGCTTAGATCCTACTGGTAGTTGACATACAACTTGAAAAGTTATTTGGCATTATCTCAAAAATTATTTGAACTATAATATAAAAATTTTATGAAAACCAATGTATTATTAGGGCGGTTATGTGTGATAAAAAACGTAGAAATCTTGACTCCTTGTGGTAGCTGACATACAACTTCAATTATAGTTTCTCAATATCTTGGAAAATATTGAAAACACAATACTGAAATTTTCTATAAAACAATACGGTAATATGGCAGCCGTAGTCTGTCTCATAGTCAGCCATAGTATATTTACTCACGCATAGGATAACAAAATTTGTACGGGTATCACAGAGTTGACACGGTCAACTCTATTTTTTCCTCGTTTTTTATTTATTGTTGTTATTGTTGTTATATTATAAGTGAAAATTCCTATTAAATGCAATTTTCCCCAAAAATAATTTTCTGAATTATAATTTTATGAAAATAAAAGAAAATTTGTGCGTTATTTGCTCCCATTTAAAAAAAAAATATTTTTACTGTGTAATTATTATTTAAAATTATTATTATTATTATTATTTCATTGTTATTTTTTCATATAAAATTTTTATTTCAATCAGTTTGGTATTTCAATTATATTGTATCAGAGAATATTAATAATAGCATGGCTTGGGTCAATTGTATTGAAATGAAAATATGAAAATTTGAATTTACAATATTTTTATATTTTAATCGAGTTTGCTCAGTGCCAGTAATTTGTTTAAATCAGAATTCAATTTAATTGAATATACTGAATATACAGAAATATAGAATGACAAAACGAATGATAGGAGTTGAGTATGTCAACGGAATGACATTCAAACGTGTGATTGATTTGTGGAGTTGCATGATGACTAATTCATATTGAATTTGCATGCCAGACACATCATCATAGAAATTCATAAGACCTGATTGACTTTTAATGAAAGTATAATTAACCTAGTCTTAAATATGTTAGTAAAAAATAGTTTTTGCTATAAAGGATGTCCCAAAATTCAGGTAAAAAGTAATTTTTATAGAAAACATCGATTTATAATTAAAAATTGTAAATTTCGTATTGATTTATATAGTATACAGTATAGAGTTGTGCATGGAATAGAAAATCGGGTGAATGGCCTCCACGACTTTGCTTTGCATACGCACTCTTTTATTGAAATTTTCCCTGATTGTTTTGCATAAATGTGGTTGAATTTCGTTGATACAGCGATCAATTTCCTCCTTTAAGACGTGGGTGATGCAGAACCTGTTGACGTAAACGTTAGACTTAGACGTTAAATGGTCTGATAATGTCTCAAACCCAAAATCCGCCTTGAACAGTAACATATTGTAGATGCATTTATTCTCAAAAATAACTTGTCGATTTTCTGAACCCCAAATGGGATAATTTCGTCGAATAACAAAGCCATCAAGATGAAAATGAGCTTCATAGCTGAAGGTGATTTTGTTTGAAAAACTTTTATTATTTAAGAAATATTGCTCAACAATAAAAATCCGTTGTTCTTTTGTGTAGTGCTTCATTTTTAATAACCCCGAACTGTCCAGTGTAACGTTGTATTTTCCTTTTTTTTTGTTGGCAATATTTACAATGGTGCATAATTCAAATTTTGCACGAATTTTGAGATACCCTTTATAAAAGAGCTGTTAGCTCAACAATCTTGTTCGCACTATAACATTAAATTATTCGAGATTGCATTCAAATTGAACTATATGGGACCTTGTATATAAACACTTGGTATTATATAGAAACTATTTATGAATTTCCTGGTATAAGATTGATTAACCAATCAATTTTTGAGTTATTGTTAGAAGAATCGGACAAACAAAACATAGTCCTAGTATTATGCATACAATTTAAAGACAATTTAGGGTAAAATAAAGGATAAAATAAATAAAGGATTTCTTCAATTTGCTTGTTATATGTTTCTTATTATGTGATACCCAATTAAAATGTGATTTTAGAATTTTATAAATAAAATTTTATTTTTGGTATTCAATAAAATCTTTACCGAAATAATCCTTTTTATTTCAAATTACTTTCCTGTTAGCTTCTAATATTTAAGAAATACTCAATGATTTATAAATGTACATATGTGTGTATTCAATCAAAATTTATAAATTGTTTCATAAATTTCTCAATTAACATAAAATAAAGAATTAATAATATTTTCTTAACAAGAATATTAATAATATTAAAGAAGAAAATAATTTTTAAAATATTGAGTTCAAGAATTTTTATGACTAATTATTTTAAGATTCCAAAATTATTTTAATTAATAAGATTCCATTACGAACTGCAATCATTTTGATTTGTGATAGAAGAAAATTATTTAAATTCATTAATGATAAATTGTACTCGTACAAAATTATAAACCCAAGGATTATTAATATTATTGAATACAAAATTATTTAAAATGTTTTTCATGTGATTTTATTTATTTGGACTTAGTGATTTTGTCCATTCCTATAATAGAAATGAAAAGTAAAATTTAATCAGGCCTTTTGTATATTGTATGCTCTAGGTATAATTTATAAATAAGTAGCTATAATTCGATCTGAAATAATTAAATTAATTATCATACCATTTGAATATCATAACAATTATATTGAGTAACAACTCGTTGTATACCTCGGAAAGCACAACTTAAAATATCTTCTAATATTAAAGAGCAGAATTTTACGAAAAATTAAAAAAAAAATTGATGTGAATAGCATATAACCAATAGTATTGTTAAGGTGTTGCTCTAGATTATGAAAATTTCCTTTAACTATGTATTTAAAGTTCTGTGAAAGATAAAGAGGGGGTTTTTGTTATAGTACCTAGAAATATGAGGACATGGCCTGTGATACGATTTTCTTGCAAAGTTTTCCAGTCAATTTCGTTAACAATCAGAACTAATAATATTAAATTTCAAGAAATACTGTCCTGAGTTCCGGAGCTGTGATCAATTACATATAATCGGCCTTTAGTAAAAAGTTCTGTTTCCGAGCCCTGATAATACCGAAAAATTTAATGGTTAATTGTGTCAATAGCCAAATTTCAAATATGAAATATCAAGTAGATTTGTTGATTATTCTTCTATATGAGTAAAAATGTAAATTCGGCCTGTAATAAATATCCAATTGCTGATATCTACTTGATTTCCTTCAAAAGTTAGTTGACTTGCTTTTCAGGAGGAATTTATATATAAAATTTCAGAAAAATTCGCTAGTTATTTTCTTAAATGTAGTCAAAAACATAAAATCATTCCATAGTATGGATTCAGTTCCAGAGATCTGGTGTATTCTAAAAGTTTAAAGCCTTCTCATCCTCGAAATAAATTCAAACATGAATTTTCATGAAAATTCGATTTTAAGATAATTTTGATCTGTAAAGGCAGACCAACAGATATCTTTCAAAAAATAGTTTATTTAAGCTTCGCTGTCATAGAGAAACACATTCCCGTTGTAAATTCGGCATATAAAATTTATTGCCATCACAATACCTTCCCTGTGGTCAGTAATCACTACTTTTACAGAGAAAATCACTAAAATTTTGTAAGTTAATAAATCAGAGGAATTCCCATTTGCTCAGTACTTTTGCTTCTAAAATAATAATTTTTTTTTGATTAATGTCGTTTTGCTGGAGCAATATAAAATTAATTGCATATTCTAATTCAATTGGCATTGTTATTAAAATTCAATTGAATTTCAATAAAAAAAAAGAGGTCAATTACTCTAAAATAAAAATTATTTTGAATTCATAACAAAAATATTTAATTAAATTCAAATTAATTATTAAGGCTTATAATGATGACTTTTTTAAAATAATTTTCTAAAAAAAAAATTGTAGAGAAAATAAACAAAAAAAAAAAAAAAATTACCCATAATTTTTAATAGAGGGGCAGCCTACCTTAACAATAAATTCTTCATATAAGAAAATTTTTATTAAATTTAAATTTTTTATTTTATTTTTTTTTTAATATCTCTTCATAATATCCTTTCTAATCCTATATTATTATATAACTACTACACTTATATTTTTTATTTAAATTTACATATTAAAAAAATGAAATTATATAAGAGAAGAAATGAGAAAGAAATCTACCCTATTCTATATTCTATCTATTTAAATTATCATCTATTATAAACTGTACTCATTTAAGTTGTTTTGTATCCTTTTGTCAGTCCTTCTTTTTGTTAATATCTTCATCAAGATTACAATTATTAATATCATTCGTTGTTGTCGTTGCTGTTGCTCCTATTACTGATGTTTGTTCTATATTATGCATATTTATTGATTTGGTTTTTGTTGTTGGAGGTGTTGTTGTTGATGATTTTAATGTTAACATTGATGTTGTTGTTAATGGTATCGTTTGATGTATTGGTGTTAATATATTTTTATTATTTCCACTAGATATATTTGATCCGGGTATTGTTGTTGTTGTAATTGTCGTTGTCGGTGATAGTTGTATTAAATTTGTTTTAACAACAATTGATCCTGATTGAAGAGATTTCATTTGTTGTTGTGTCTCTTTTAATTCTGATGGTTTTGTAGATGTAGATGTTGGTGGCAATTTTGTTGGTGGTAATTTTGTTGGAGGTGGCGGTGGTGGTGGTAAAATAATTTCATCAATTGTACATACTCTATCATTAATTGGAAATTTAAAATTTAATTCTTTATTCTTAATTGCTGATTCAGCGGTTGGTGTTTCTGTTGCAGTTGATTCAACATTTTTTTCTAAACATTTTCCAGCTTCTCCTGGTTTTTGTTTTTTTTTTTGGAAAAAATTTTTTTTGGTTTATTTGCAAGGAAATTGTCATCATTCATGTAAAGTTTTCAATTTGATTGTATAGTAACATAGAAATGAAAAAAAGAAAAGAAAATTACATTATAAAATAAAAAAATTTTTATATTTACTTGCATACATATATAAGACATATAAGTTAATTTTATGTATATACATATATATATATATATAAATGAAAAGGAAACAGAAAAAAATAGGAAAAATTTCTAGTTTTTAAAATGAAATCATTTTAAAATGGTACAAGAAACAAAACATAAAAATTTTAAAGATTTTCGAGAATAATAGAAAATTTTTTTTCTTGCTATAACAAATTTTTGTCTCCCTACAGATATTTTTAATATAATCAGAGACCTCAAATGAATATTTAAATTGTATGTATGGTAAAAAGCTTTGAGAATTTTTTGAAATTATTCAATATAGTTGTATTTTAGGGGGAATAAGAATTCGTATACAATAAAAATATTTTGATGGAAATTTAAATTTAGATTTAAGCAAAAATTTAAATGAAATTTTTAAATTCTCATGTGGATTAAATTACTATAGTTACTCATAAATTTAATATATATATATATATAATTTCCGTTAATTTAATCCAAGTTGTATAGAAAATTAAATAACAAATTATAGCTAAATTGCAATGCTAAAAAATAATTCCGAAAATATCTGCAATATTTATAATTCAAATAAATACGGGGTAGGGAATTGTTATTCTCTTAACCATCGCCGTCGATTATGATTTATTGTAGTCCCCCTACCCTTACCTACATTACTCGACAACCAAAACATTTGGATTTCGAGGCAGTGTCGGCCTTTTATATGTAAAATGTGGTTGGTAGATCTTGACAAACAGTAAAAAGAGATAAGCTTTACGAAAAAAGTCTCGGACTATTATTATGCTAACTGATGAGTTATTCCGTTACGCTTCCGCTCACTACAGCTCGACGTCAGATATATATGTTTGACATAGCTCATGTAGAACTTCTTGGCCTCAGACACATATGATTGAGATAGTAATTAACGTGTTAAAGGCTTTACTAAAGTGGAGAATTTTGAAAAATTGGCATTATTTTTGATTTTTATTGATACTCAGTTTAAAACAGTGATAATTATCACTGTTTTTAAACTGAGAAAACTAAAGAAATAAAAGCAGTCTTATGGTTTCGACGAGTTTGTTCCCAGTGATATGGGAATATCACTTTATATTTCCCATTCATAATCGAAATTGAAAGAAGTCTTACAAGATTCAAAGGGCAAATAAGACACTAGAACAAATAACAAAATTTAATTTTTCTTTTTATTATAAAGAACAAAGATTTTTATATCCATTTTAACTGAGATATTAACTCTTTTATTTTTCCTTCCATTAACTTCCATTAACAATAAGAAATACTGAAAAAAATGGAATTATTTTCAAATTAAAAGTTACTTGAATTAACACAGACGTTTCCATTTTAATATTATGTACCGAAGTTTAAGTTCTTAAATTCTACAAGTAGCTGTAAAATAAAATTATATAAGAAATTTAAAATTTGTTGAATATTTTTTTTTTTTAAAGCGATTTCCTATGCATTATCTTAATTTTTTTTTTTGTTCTCTTTATCACATTTCAAAATCCTTAATAGTCCCTTAAATTTTAATTGAAAGAATAAAATGTCCCCTAAAAAACAAAATTTCTTTTTGCTTTTCTTTTTTATTATTTCCGTTTAATATTGCTTTTTTTTCTATTTTTTATTTTTATTTCCTTAAGTAAATAATGAGTATAATTATAAGGTAATTAATATAAAAGGAAAAAGAAAGAAGAATTGTTTTTTTTTTGTGTATACAATAAACATATAAAATAATTTATATATATATAAATAATGATCACATTGAAAAGTTCCGATAGGAGACGATTGCCAAATTATTTTCGTAAAAATATAGAAAATTATGTAAGAATTTGAAAGAAAAATGGCTTGCAATTCAATAATATACTAAAAACAGGCGCGGAACTGCGGCAAGTTATTCAATATTGAATAATACTCACAGAGGCATAGCGAAGTGGCGTGGCGACATCTTGCAGGATAAAAATATTTTCATATTTATTATGTACAGCCACTATGCTATAGGCTTGTCACCTACTTAATGAACGATTTGGTATATATAACACAATAAAGAACAGACTCTGTTGGATTATAGAACAGTTCTACATTTTTCAATTAAAGGGGTGAAAGAAGAGAAAGATAAAGAAAAAACATAGTTAATCAAAGTACCATCCACTCAATTAATAAAAATTTCATATATGCAGCAATTGTCTGAGTCTGACTAAATGTATCTGAGTATACATATATTATGTATGTTCAAGGGAAATAAAGAATCGGAAATTTGTGAACATTAGAATAGTTTTAAGCCATATAGTCATATGATAGAGTAAGAATTCTTATTTATTTAAATTTTAATAGATATTGGCAACCTGAATAGAATCTATACGACACCTCTGTTACGTAATTTGGATGTTTATACATATACATGTACGTAGTTATGTAAATGTTTAGGAAATGTCTGTACAAAATATATTACACTGTGTGCCTGAAATATATAAAGTATATTTTCAGAAAAACAAAATAAGAGGAACAGAATATACTGAAGAACAAAAGAGCATAGAATGAAAATAATAAATCTGTTAAGACAAATGTAAACGTTTTCGATGGAATTTGTTTTCTTAATTATAGCAATTTTTCATTTACCTTAAAAATTTATTTTTCTTTTTTTTCTCTTCTTATTTTTATTCTCCTTTCCTCTTTTCCTTATATCACACACACATATAATATAACACTATTTATATTTCGACATTTTTCACCTTACGCCATTCGCCGCGTCTCTTTCTCTTTAAAAAAAAAAAATATATATTTCTCTATCTTAAGTTGCATAACTTTGACAATGAGAGCATTAGAAAACTTCTGTTATAAATTGTTTGAATTTCTAGATACAAGATGTTTACAAGAATATTTATAAAAAAAAAAAAAAATAAATACAAAATAAAAGAGAATCAAAAAAGTTGCATCAAACTTTTTAAAAAGTTAAAAAGCCTACATGTAAAGATCAAAAGTAAAAAAATATTCAATTTTTTCTACAACTTTAAACATTATTCTAAATATTCTTAACGTTATAGGCATTGCTAATGAGAAACGTCAGGTTTATATTTTTGTTCCCTTTCAATTTTTCCCGAGTTTGTCAAGAGTACCTCTTCTTTTTTTGATATAAAACATTGAAAAGTCTATTTTCAAGAATCTTGTATTTGAAAAATAATACCACGTGCATCTTTACACGTTTCCTTTGAATTCACTCTCCTACTATACTAATGAAATTCTATAGACCTATGAATGAGGTAGAAAAAGAAATAAAAGAAATCGTGTTGTGTAGCCTTGTCGAATTTCCTCTGAAATTCTTATTAATTTGAAAAATTATACAGGAAACCTAAAGACCATAGTATTGATATCAATTGCTATGAAAGTGTTCTCTTTTTTAAATTATATCGTATAAAGTGATTTGTCTGCTAATTTTATTAAAAGTACGGGAAATTCAATGTAATTTCATTGTATTCCTAACAATATACAATAATAAAGTTTTATTGATTTCATAGGATGATAACAGTATTGCTTATGTAGGAGTTCTCTTCAACACACAACAGATAGTAGCACATAAGAGTTGACAGTAATCGTTTAAAAATCAAATTGTTTTTTCTGTTTTCCTAATGCAGAGCTGACTTCAAGTATTTCCACATCAAATTGCGCTTATTATTGTTCCAATGATGTTTTCTAACTAATATTCTAACTTCCGATTCTCTTAAAAGCGGTTTTATTCAACTTCTGAGGCATTGAAACTTAGAATTAGTGGCTAGGAGGAAATTGAATCCAGAGGTACTTGGTAATTTCTTGAAAACTTTTTATTACTTTAGTAAAAAGGTACTTTTAAAAATCGATATAAATATTTTTCGATAATTTTATTTTTTTTATGATTAGGAAAATCTATTTCTAGCATTAATTAGCATTTTTTCAAAAGTATTCAGTTCCTTTTTAGGTCTTGTTTCAATGAAATTTTATCGAATCCCTGATATCAACATGGAGAACTCAAAACTTAAATTATTTTACACAAAAATGAGATAGCTTGTAACACTTAAAATTACAGGCTTCAATGGACGAAATAAAAATAGAAATTGAAAAATAAAATTACCTATATAGAATGTGATATATAAAGGTATAGTAGGTATAGAAATGAGAGAAATGAAAAGAAAAAAGAAAAATGAGTATGAAAAAAGAAGAATCTAAACGAAATAAAACAAAATTGATTGAGTAAATTACGCCACTGTAGAATTTAAGAAAATTGAAACTCTTTAAAAATTCATGAATTTTACAAATACATAAAATTTAAGATTACGTAATTATACACTTGGGTCACAAGTTCTATTAATTTTAACAAATAGAACGAAATTATTATAATTTCATTTTTATGATTCAAAGCAAAGAGCAGAGGGAAAACAGAATTAAGGACAAAGCTCTTCAGCCAGTCGAAATTATTGAACAATATTAATATAATTGATAATATTTTTCATTTAAATTAAGAAAATTAAAATGGTGTACAAATGGCACACTTATGGATCCCATGTTGCATAAAAAATTAAAAATTCATACATAGTATAAGTTTTTTTTTTTTAAGAAAAAAATACTAAAAGAAAAATCGAAGCGGAAATTTAACATAAGTTTCTTCGTTTAAGAGTAAATTATTTTTAACGAAAATATTAAAAATGAAATTTTGCAAAAAAAAAAAAAAATTTGTATACTTTCTCTTTTAAAGTTTTTTTTTGAACAATGTTGCTTTTGTGCTCCTCATACAAGGAGTAAATTTTAAATTTTCATTTTAACATTGAAAAAAATGCGTTGCCATTTTGTTTTTTAATTATAATTTAATGTACGCT